CATGTTGAGCCACCAGCGGCTCATCGGGTTGAACGGACTGTTCAGGGGTTTGCACGTCTTCCTCATCTTGATCCTCGAACTCGTACGGAGCAACAACCAAAGGAGTTTCGTCACGGATCTGGGTGGCAAACGGAAAACTGTTTTCATCGAACTTGACATCTCTGGCTAGGAATAACTGCTTCTTCTCTTTGTTCCACAGGCGGTAGGCGTTCGGCGCATAGCCGATCATCACAGCAGGCTTGCTTTTCGGATCCAGTTTCTTCCTCTGTGCCGTGGACACCCAAGCAAATGCTTTACAGCCGAACACACGTAGTTTACTAACGTCCGGCTTGTGACCAGTCCACATTTCCGCAGGAGTCTTCCAATCAGATACCGCGGTGGTTGGACTTCTGTTCGTCAGGTATACCGCCGCTAGAACCGCTTCATTCCACAGATTCTTCGGAGTTTGGGCTTCAATCAGCATCGCACGCACCTTTTCGACGATTGTCCGATTGAACCGTTCGGACACTCCATTCTGCTGTGGTGTGTACGCTGCGGTTGGCTCGACTTGGATCCCCTTGGAAATCGATACCAATCACGCTGGTCATTGGAGCAATACTCGCGCCCTTGGTCGACAGTCAGCTTCGAAATCGAATGTCCCAGAGCGGCACTCGCCATGGCCTCGTACTCTCGAAACTTCTGGAACACCTCGGACTTCTTCTTGATGGGATATACTACTGCAAAGTGCGTGTAATCATCAATAAAGGTGACGAAGTACCGAGAATCATCCCAAGCCGCTGGTGTAATTGGACCGCACACATCGGAGTGCACTCGTTCTAGAGGTCTTGTAGCACGGACTCTAGTACCCGTGAATGGTTCTCGGCACTGCTTTCCGAGAACACAAACATCACAAAAATCCAATTTATCTGGTTTCTCGGGAATACCTGTTACCATGCCATGCTTCGCGAGTGTCTGCAAACTCTTGCTCCCCAAATGAGCCAGTCGACGATGCCACAGGTTACCAGTCACAGCTCCACACATGTTGGCCGCCACCGTATCGACACGGAGATCGAGCTCGTAAAAATCGCCCCGCATGGGACATCTCGCAATCAGGTCACGACCTTGCTTCATGATCGCTTCCTTTTTCGTGAATGTGACATCAAGATCCGCTTTTGCCATCTTCTTCACAGATAGCAAGTTCGCTCGAAGATCTGGTACGAAGAGGACGTTCTTCAAGCTGATATAGTTACCTTCCTTGTTGACGCCGTTGATCGTGCCACTGTGCCGGGAAATCAGGGATTGATCATCCTTCGCCACGTTTATGACGACAGGGTGCTTCAGCTTCGTGAGGTCGGCGAAACAGTTCTTCACATTCACAAGGTGGTCCGAGGCTCCGGAATCCAGCTTAAAGGAAACTGCTCTCTCGTCCTTTGTTTGGGAGCATCTCCCGGTCATAAAAGCCACCGCCTTACCTCCAGCAGCAGCGTTAGCTTCAGCGCGCCCATCTGTCTTCAACTTCACACGACAGTCCTTGGCCTTGTGCCCCTTCTTCTGGCAACGGTTACACTTTCCGGTGAACTTACCAGGCTTCTGCTTCGATCCTTGGAATGCTGCAGGTTTCTCTTGGCAGGAATCCGCTGCCCGGTCGGTTTTCTTGAGCTCCTCGGCAAGAAGGCGCTCGCGAACAACATCCAGTTTTAGGTTTTCCTCACCTAGATTTTCCAGTGCCGTAACCAACGGATCGAACGACTCGGGAAGGGTAGCAAACAGCTGGGACACAATATCGTTCTCTTCAAGCTTCGCTCCGACCAGCTTCAGTTGTCGGATCAGCTCTTCGAAGGTTTTCAGGTGATCTTTCACAGACGAACCTTCCATCATTCGTAGCTTCGCAAGTTGCTTCCTGACGAATGTCTGCGACGAGACGGACTTCTTGGCGTAGGCGGATTCAAGGCTCATCCACATCTCCTTGGACGTCTCCTTGTCCCGCACCAAATGCAGCAAATCGTCATGAACAAATGACGTCAGCAGGAACGCCGCCTTACCGTCATCTTCCTGGAACTTCGTGAGCTCGGCCGCTTCCATCGGAGGATCCTTCTTGATGATATCCAACAGCTTCACGGACTTCAGATACTTCTCCACTCGAAATTGCCAATTGTCGAAACCGGTGCCCGAGAACTGCGGGATCCCGTGGACCAAATCCTTGCGTGAGTCGCCCATAACCTCTTGATGGTTAGAAAGAACCGGAACAGCAAAGTTTAAAAGTAGAATGGATTTTATTTAACGACTAGCTTGAGTGGAGTCTTGAACAGGAATGAAAAGTTTTTCACCGTTGTTTATTTAAGAAAACTTAGGTTGCTAGGGGTGACGTTCGGTCTCCAAGGAGGTTATCAGCACACTGCGTTACCGATTTACTCCAACACATATGATACGTGTGTTCGTGAATGCCGGATCGACATAATACGTGGAATCCAGTGGCAACCATACTATAGGAATCCGGCAAGAACGAATTCGTACTATAGGAGTATTGACTGTATAAGGCTCTGCGGCGTTTGAAACCACGCGCAATCGATTCCCTTAACTTTTTCCCTTTGAAAAGTCAATTTTCAGCGTCCTTTTTAGATATTGAATCATGGGTAATTTCAGGCCCTTTTTGCCCATAGTACATTGACAGCTTTTGGTCGTATGGACCATTTTGCCTACGGACATTTTTTGTTTCCAATATTACGTTACTTAACCCGGAATACGAACTAAGCTACAATATTTTTCAGTGTAGCTACAGCATCATTATAATGGCTCTTAAACCTGGTGGTCATCGAAAAATTACGTTGAATCGACGCAAATGTTTTTGGTGGTCTAAAATATCTGAAAAAAGTCTATGAAATTGTTATAACCATTTCCTATCCTCCTGAACCATACTGCCTTTCATTTTTTTTTTATTGTTTTCCAATGACCTGTTAATCCTTCTTCCACATCACCTAACCTCTTAAGCCAGAGCTAGTAGGACCTTATCTAGATTTATACTCAGTGTAATCAGTGCCATACGTGTACAGGAATGGTGGGGATCTGGAAATGGGAAATGTGCGACAGATGCAATGGACCATTTTCATGACCATATCCTAGGGAACTTAGTCAACAATGAGTGCACCTTAAATGCTACTGTTAATCTCATTATCCTTAGAGCAAGGCGTTCAGTAAAGATAGACACAACAGTACTTCGCAGCACCAAACAAGCAATAGGCAAGCAATATTAACACGCAACATCCATTAGCTCTCTCAGGTTCGAGCGTTCAATTAGAGAAAAAAAAATATGAAGAGGGAAAAAAAGCCAAACAGCAACATAACCTCAACATGTGTGTTAATTATAATGATACATAGCGCGCTTTAGCAGTAATTTATAAATCTTAGGTTGAACAAATCAAAAAGAATCTTACCTCATATCAAGCAAAAACTCGCGTCGCGCGGATGTCTTCTACTGTGTCTGCTCGATATCTCCCTTTCACACTCTCTCCCTCTCTTCCTCTCTCCTACTTTGAACAACTTTTTATGGGTGTGTGTTTTCTAAATCATGTAATCTTGATTGATTTCGTTCAAATGGCGCGGGGGGGATTTTCGCGGGCAACCAATGAAATGGAAAATGCCAATTGAATTCGATTGTTTATCGAACAAGAAGAAGCCACTCAGGACCGGACAAAATCACTAAGTCGGAGTTAAATTAGAACAACAACAGCAATAACAACAACAACAGTAAGGACAACCGAACGAGGATGGGGAAATGGGTTTCGTTCTTGGTAAAAAAAAAGAAGGGCACTAATGAAAACAAAACAAAAACAAGCGATTGTTGAATGTAAAAAGAAAGTAGCTTTACTGGAAATAAATAATTCGTAAAAGTATTTATAAACACAAAAAAAAACAGAGGTTCTTGTCTTACACTTACGATGCCTTAAGTCTTATGATAGCTTTTTATTTATTGTTTCTGGTTCAGATTAAATATTAGTTGTAGATAATTAATTTCACTGTCAATCAATTCAGGCTTGAGGTTTGCGTTTTTTTCGGAAAAGTTTCGAGGTTAAGCCAAACAACCAGAATGCGTTGCGTGGTTAAAGATTTTAAAATGTAGCATTTTATCCGATCTAAACATTGATTGATCGTATATGAGTCAGTATTCGAACTTATATACGATTAAATTCAAACTTTACGACTTCTGGTTGTCTGGGAATGGGAGGGGGGCGGTAAAAAGCAGTTCAAGCGACTGAGAGTTTAGTACCTGCGCAAGTCATGGCTTAAAAAGATCTTCTCTTCTCGATATTGAGCTTATGTTTGTAAAAAGTAATATTAGCTAACATTGAGCGATTCGATAGGAGGAGTCGTTCTGTTCAATTTCAATCAGTTTGCATCCCGAGAGCAGATTAGTGTCTCGCATTAATGTCGCTGCCATTTGCTTGTTGGGTCTCTGCACGCACCGCGTAACTTCTTGACTCAAGGAGGAGATTATTTGGCGAATTTAATTGGAGGGATAGGAATCACGCGGCGAAGTAAGAACAATAAGTATACAAAGGATTGCACAAGGATTCTCTCGATTTAAGCACTTTTCTCGAGTATTAAAATTACATACAAACTATCATGAAAGGGTGCATGAATTGCAAAAAAAATAGGTACCTAAGCACTATTGCACTACAATTTGCACTGGTCAAACACGTTCTACCGGCTGTGCCGTATGTTGTGTACGCTAAAGACTCTATAACTAGAATAAGGTGCCTTGGGTGTCTTTCTATCTAAAATCTAAAAATCAATTGTCCTGATCCGGTGTGCAACTACAGCAACACCCTTCACAACCCTTATGCGCAGGGTTACTGAGGCACTGAAGCCCTAGCAGATCTTTCGTCGTTGTCTGATTCGAAAATAAATCGGTAAGGTGGTATGTATAGGCAGAACAAAACCGAACCAAGGTTCATTGGAAGTAATCAACTGAAGTCATTACTCGGATGAAAACACAGAAAAGTTATCAAAGCTGAGCTGCTTACCTTGCACCGAGTCGTCATCTAGGTCGTCCTGGCTGCTGGATAGACGAGCTGTTTGGGAAAGATGGAATGGGGAACCGATTAGTGAACGGCTGTGGTCTCTTGTGTATGTGTGGAATCAGTGGATCGAATGAATGAAAAGTAGCGGAAAAACCTGTAAAAGTTGTCCCTGAAAATGGCAAAAAGATCTTTAAAATACTAAAAAAATTACCTTGAAAACGCCCAAAAAGATCTTAAAATGCGTAGAAAGCACCAAGAATGGCGATTAAATTAACTTAAAAATGTCTAAATGGTCATGACCCGTCAAAATCGGCATGAACACCTAAATGGTTTCACTGAATATGACCCACAAATCTCGAATTTTCGGTTCCCTAAACATGACCTAGATGCGTTCGGAACATGTCTTGAAACATTCGAATAGATTTGTCCGGAAAGCCTTCCACATACGTCCTTCCAGTTCTACGAACTAGTTTAAATCCTTCACGTTTGTTTACCAGAAAACTTTTTCGAAACTTCCCTTCGATGTACGGTGAACTTGCCCTGCAAGTTCACTGAACATATTCCTGAAATCTTCCTACTGGTCCTCTGACCTGGCAGCTGCCTTAGCTTACCATTCTTCCTCTCTCAACATATGTAGTTTGGTTTTCTTTTTTTTTAAGAGACCTTCAACCGTAGGCTGGTTCATCTCTGGGAGCCCCAGAAGGGGACTCCCTAAGTTGCAGAGTTTTTTAATCGGTTTGGGAGCCCGGAATGGACTTCCCCTTTGATATGGGGAGTCCAGAAGGGCCTTCCCCAAGGTTTGGGTGGCCCTCCAGAATGGAGTGCCCTAAACTGTCTTTGCTTTCTACAGTCGTTTGGTATTCGTCGATATTGCCAGGTCGTTTACCTTGGGACGTCCTTTTCGTTGCGTTTGTTGGTTGAATGAGTTCTTGTCTGGTTTTGGTATATTTGAAAGCTCGGTTCGTAATCCATGGTAGCAGTGGTCATGGTATATAAACCACCGACAGCAAGCTTCGCGGAGCGGTCCACTGTCGGCAATAGTGTCATGTTCAGTTCGATTAAATTGCATCGAAGAGGTCGGCTTCTCGGGGGAAACCTTCGAGGGCCGCAGTTCTGGCCGGGTCATCCACTAAGGCATCCCGGATGCTTCCGGCAATGCCGTATAGTATGTGTGGGCCCTCGTTTTGAGGGCAGTGGCAGATGGCATGTTCGACGGACATACCTCACATATCTTATAAAAAGGGCCGGTGCCAGAGAAATTGTGCGATATGCGGGTGTGTCCCGTTCTCAATCTTGAATAAATCACCTCGAATTCACCATCGAATGATGGTTCTTAGGATCCTCCCATCGGACGATATCTCCTTTAGCCTTCCGGATGATTGGTTCTCTAGCGTCGTTCCAGGCGCAAAATTTGTCGACCCATTTTTTCAGGTCAGCAGCTGGTTCTGTACCGGTGTATGCCGTGGCCTGCCTGCGACGTTGCCACGTACCCCGCAATGACCCGGGATCCAAACAAAGGTAGTGCCCAGTAGGGCATACCTTTGGATGCCTTGGATCCCCGGGTGTTTGGAGATGTCTGAATCGAGGGCTTCCACTACACTAGCCGAGTTGGTAAACACGACGATCGGGTTGTCGCAGCAACTTCGGCCGAGAAGATGGAGCATTGGATCGGAAGCTTATAGCAGACTACGAGCTGCGGTTCAGTTACCCGGATGGTATGATGTTCGTATTTTTCGTTTTAAGGCTGGGTTCCCGATTGAGAGACAGCTAGGGGGTTGGAACCGGCCTTGAACTTGTTCTTGTTGGAGTATTCGGTCCGGGTTTTTGGTAGATTCCAACCTCTGGCTCCGATCCAGTGAACCCTGCTCACTGTAGGGAGCACTTGGTTGGAGCACTTGGTTGGACCACTTTATCAGGAGTTGGTTGGCCTCCATCAAGAGGAACCCTCTCTCGGCTGTGTTCTTCTCGTCCAGGTCGATTGCTCTACGGCAGATCGTGTTCGCAATAAATCTTTCGAAAGGTGGGCAGCCGCTTTCGGTGCAAGCAGCAATGCTGGGAGTGAATGGTATTAGACCGGTCGTATGTCAGCTTTGAGTTTATAATGGTCTTGGCCACATGGAGTCGAGTGGGCCGATTGCTGTCTGGGTGCCGACCTTGCAAGGTGCGCATTATATTAATCCTGGTCTTGCATTTGTCCCGCAGAAGTGTTTCGAGAAAGATAATTTCCTATCAAAGTAGATGCCTAGGATGCGCACTGTCCTCTGGTACGAAATGACGGACGGAATTCTTTCTGAATTCCAGACAGAATTCGTTTTAAATTCCAGAAGGAATACGTTCTGAATTCAAAGCAGGATAAGTTCTGACTTCCAGACGGCCTCTGTTCTGAACTCCAGGCCGCCTGTGTTCTGAATATTAGATGGAATTCGATCTGAATTCCACACGGAATTCCAGACGGAATTCGTTTTGAATTCAAGACGGAATTCGTTTTGAATTCAAGACGGAATTCGTTTTGAATTCAAGACGGAATTCGTTCTCAATTCCAGAAGAAATTTGTTCTGAATTCCGGAAGAAATTCGCTCTGATTTCCAGGATTCATTCTGCATTCCAGATGGAATTTATTTTTAATTCCAGACGAAATTCGTTCTGAATTCCAGACAGAATTCGTTCTAAATTCCGGAAGGAATTTGCTCTAATTTCCACAATTCATTCTGAATTCCAGATGGAATTTGTTTTTAATTCCAGACGGAATTCTTTCTGAATTCTGGAAGGAATTTGTTTTGAACTCCAGAAGTAATTCGTTGAATTTCGACAGAAATTCGTTCTGAATTCCGGGAGGAGTATGTTTTGAATTCCGGAAGGACTTCAAGACGGAATTCGTTTTGAATTCAAGGCGGAATTCGTTCTCAATTCCAGAAGAAATTTGATCTGAATTTCAGATTGCATTCTTTATGAACTCCATAAGGAATTCGTACTGAATTGCAGACAAAATTTGTTCTAAATTCCGGAAGGAATTCGCTCTGATTTCCAGGATTCATTCTGCATTCCAGATGGAATTTATTTTTAATTCCAGACGAAATTCGTTCTGAATTCCAGACAGAATTCGTTCTAAATTCCGGAAGGAAATTGCTTTAATTTCCAGAATTCATTCTGAATTCCAGATGGAATTTGTTTTTAATTACAGACGGAATTCGTTCTGAATCCCAGAAGGAATTCGTTCTGAACTCTGGAAGGAATTTGTTTTGAACTCCAGAAGTAATTCGTTCTGAATTTCGACAGAAATTCGTTCTGAATTCCGGGAAGAGTATGTTCTGAATTCCGTAAGGACTTCAATCTTAATTCAATGAAGGAATTCGATCTGAAAACTTCGGAAGGAATTTGATGGGAAGGGATTCTATCTGAATTCCAGAAAGAATTCGATCTGAATTCTAGAGAGAATTCAGTCTTAATTCCAGAAGGAATTCGATCTGAATTCAAGAAGGAATTCGATCTGAATTCCAAAAGGGAATTGTTCTGAATTCTGGAACGAATTCGTTCTGAATCTTGGAAGGAATTTATTCTGATTTCCAGTAGAAATTCGTTCTGAATTCCAGAAGTAATTCGTTCTTGATTTCAGAAGAAATCCGTTTTTAATTCCAGAAGAGATTCGTTGTGAATTCCAGAAGAGATACGTTGTGAATTCCAGACGGAGTTCATTCTGACTTGTCCGCTGTTGAGACTTAAATTCGAGACCTTCGAAAACGAGAATCGAGAATACCAGCCAGAATTTTAACATGAAGAATGCATTCTCAATTTCTTGAAAAAGTCATTCTAAATTCGTTGAGAAATCCGTTCTGAATTTTGGTCTGATTTCCAGTAGAAATTCGTTCTGAATTCCACAAGGAGTTCGGTATGAATTCCAGAAGTAATTCGTTATTGATTTCAGAAGAAATCCGTTTTTAATTCCAGAAGAGATTCGTTGTGGATTCCAGAAGAGATACATTGTGAATTCCAGACGGAGTTCATTCTGACTTGTCCGCTGTTGAGACTTAAATTCGAGACCTTCGAGAACGAGAATCGAAAATGCCAGCCAGAATGTTAACAAGCAGAATTCGTTGATTTCCAGAAGGAATTCGTTCTAAAATTCCGGAAGGATTTCGTTCTGAATTCCGGATGGAATTCGTTCTGAATTCTCAAAGGAATCCGTTCTGAATTTCGGTCTGAATTCCAGAAGGAATTTGTTCTGAATTCCAGAAGGAATTTGTTCTGAATTCCGGAAGGAATTCATTCTTAATTTTGTTCTGCATTCCAGAAGGAATTCGTATTGAATTCCAGAAGAAATTAGTTCTGAATTCCAGAAGGAATTCATTCTAAATTCCAGAAGGAATTATTTCTGAAGTCCAGAAGGAGTTCGATATGAATGCCAGAAGAAGTTCATTCTGGATTCCAGAAGGAATTCGTTCAGAATTCGAGATGGAATTCGTTATGCATTCAAGGGGGCCTATATTCTGAATTCAAGACGAAATTCAATCTGAATTCCAGATGGAATTTGATCTAAATTCCAGACGGAATTCGTTATGAATTCCAGAAAAAGATTCGTTATGAATTCCAGAAAAAAAATTCGTTTAGAATTCCAGAATTAATTCGTTCTGAATTGCAGACGCAATTCGTGCTGAATTACAGAAGCAATTCATGCTTAATTCCAGAATTAATTTATTCTGAATTCCGGAAGAAATTCGATATGGATTCCAAAAAAATAATCCTTCTGAATTCCAGAAGGACTTCGTTATGAATTCTTCTTCTTCTTGTTCGCATTTAAAGCTTATTGCTTAGCGCATATTAGCTTATTGCGTGCTCTCAACTTAGTGTTCTAAATGCACTTCCACAGTTATTAATTGAGAGCTTTCGATGCCAATACCAATGCATGAATTTGTATATTGTGTGGCAAGCACAATGATACTCTATACCCAGGGAAGTCAAGAAAATTTCCAACTTGAAAGATCCACTCGACCGGACCGGGAATTGAACCCGCCGCCTCCGACTTGGTAATACCGTGCCTTTACTGACTAGGCTAT